CGAAGTGGTTCGTTTAGAAACGGGGTGATTGTTGTTTTCTTTTTCATTGGAATATTTTTGTTGGGTCCTATAGCAATCCGCATACGGATTTTGTGAATCGACTGACAAACAAAATAGAAATTCTATATGTATCCGTGAATAGTTTCTTTTTTCGACTGAAAAATAAATAAATTAGTGGTTTGAGCAAAAGAAAAACCCATACAAATCCATAATAATAATAAAAACAATCAATATGCAATGAACAACTGATGTTGAATAATCGCATCCTGAAGTACAGCAAGTGATTCATTGAAAGCATCAATTAAAACATGTTGGCTCCGAAAATCAGTGTATACAACTTTTACAAATTTCCGTTTGAAAATTTAGGACGGACAAAATTTTTTTGTCCGTCCGTTTGAAAATTTTGGACGGACAACGGACAAATCTTTAGGACGGACAGACAAATTCTTCAAACGGACAGTTTTCAGACGGACGGCCAACAATTTTGTCCGGCCTAATGGTATATTTATTTCTAACTGTTTCTTTGTAATGTGGGATCTATACGACTCCGGCCTCTTTGCAAAGTTATACTTTTCAATTTCAAATTGTATAATGCAATAACAATATGACATCTTCAACCTGGTTGAAATACGCATTTATAGTCTTTTTGTCAAAATTGCACCGCAATAACCAGAGATATTTTGGGAAAAAAATACTTGAGAAAAAAAAATTTATTGCATTTGTAACGATAGTTTGATACAACCCCACAACATTATGTTTGGTACTTTAAATGAGTATATGTATCAAAATACCCTATATTGGAGCCAAAATTTGAAAATTTCAATTTGAAAAAAAAACAATGTTTATTTCGTTTACGAAAATTAATGTTCGAATTTAAGATTCATACCAAAACTCATGAAAAACGTAACTTTTGTTCGAGAGGTAGCTGAAAAAGTCCCTTCTAGTCATTTATATCAGTAGTGTATACTATGTTACTTTGAGATCATCTATGTGTTAGTGTCACACGTACAGTGTCGGTGTGAGGCCAGTATATGTGTGCGTGTGTTATACGCAGGCCAATCACACGCACAGTGTCCGTGTGACCTAGCCTAGGTGTGTGTGTGGGTGCGCGCGGGTCCGTCACACGGACAGTGTCCATGTGAGCCGCGAGCCGCGAGTGAGTCGCGCGCGCTTGCCGCTGCATGTGAACCAGGCGCGTATGCGCACATGTTCAAATGCTGCGTCTCCCAAAAGTGCATTTGAAGAATGAATGGAAATAAAATGCACCGATTTCTAAAATTCCTTATAACGGATCTTTTTTTGTTTTTTATTTTATTTCTTTATTTATTTTATTCATTTTATCAAAAAATGTGGCTCTGTCGATCGTTCACCCGAACTCCTTTCATCGATGAAATGGATTCTGCCGATCATTCGTTTGAATTTCCTTCCACTGACGAAATTTCATTTGATTGGATCGGGTTTTCGATTGAAAACCGAATGCATACAGTTTGGTGATCATAGCGGAGAAAACCCAGGTAGGCCCCACATTGGCATTCGAGCGCATAACGGGTGCTGGATAGCCTCTTTATGTTGATGCAGTCGTTCTTGCCGACATCGTAGCTCGTGCCTTCATCGCCTTGTGCCAAAATATCGGATTTTCTGAAGAGGTGTGCAAAGCAACGGTGGCACGTGAAATACGATTGGTTTTTAATCGCATCTGCGCTGAATTTTTCCATTTTTTCTTCGGTATATGATGAGTGTACGGGTTTGGCTGCAACGAAGTATACCTTCTTCCTCCAAATGCAAAGTCAAACTGATTATCATATTTTCTCCGAAATATGGTACAAATAATAGATCTAGCCAGAATGCGTTTGTTTATAAGCCGATGCCTATACGGATTATGGTCATAAAATTTAAACGCATAATGACTTTTTCAAGTGGTCGTCAATAGTCTTCGGAAAAATGTGCTAACTGTGCATTTCATGGCTAATGATCGCTGCCGCATTATATAGGAGTTCGAGATACACATTCTATGACTCAGTCGGCTCAGTTGACTGTCATTTCTGAATCTGTGCACATCTATCGCATTTTCGTGAATAATGGCTGTGCAAGACGTGGAATTATTGCAATTTGAGTGTATGCGTGACGAATTTAAATTGATTTATGAAAAAAGTGGTAGTTATCAGGCAATATTATTTATAACAGAGCAAATGTCTCTGATTCGCGGTGTGTATCTTTTTGAACTGGAAGAAGGTCGTCGTCACAGCAGAGTCTACGTCAATGACGAAACAAAAACAGCCTTTTTTTTCATGATGGCATATGTGAAAGGTAAGTTTGGATGTATGGTTTTTTCCATTGAATACTATTGAATTTGTGACTCAAAATTTTCGCTCATCTTTCTAGGCAAGAACAGCAACGATAAGCGAAACAAGTTTGATATTCAGAAGCGTGTCGGGTACATTTCAACAGCAGTGAAGTACGTGCGGGCATTTTTCAACTGCAGCCGCGAAAAATACAAGGAGTATACACTCATGATTAACACTTGTAAGCAAACATTTTTCCTCATTTTTTCGACCATTTTTACTAACAATTTTTCTACTTGTTTCAGGCAATTTTGAACATGACTCGGCAGTCTTCATTCAACGCCGAGCAAGTGAATATCGGCTTATCCACTACAACCCGAATAAAAACGTGCGTTCTCGTGTGACCGAGGAATTTTGTAGCAAATTGAATCCTACTTCCATCCGCGGCTACCATGACTTCGGAGGAAACCCCGATGGCGAATGCACTTACCTCACGTGGATGGAAATGTACTACGTATTCACTGCGCCAATCAAAAACCCGTTCAATTTCACTGATCGCCAGCTCCTCACCTATGCCAAAAAAATGAAGCTCTTTGTATGAAACCTCACCCATTCAATCGTTTTTTTTTGCCAGAATGCGCCGGCCATCTTTATTTCATTTCTTAAGTATTTTTTATTTCAAAACAATCGAAAAAATAGTTAATTGTTGAATATTGGCCATTGCCGGTGCAAATTTACATATTACCATTCAAGTACTTTTTCCGTGGGTTTTCACGCTATGCACTAATTCTACTTAGCATATATGTTTTTGTATTTTTTCTTATTCATTGATTTGGATAGTTTAAAAAAAAATGAAAATATTTTAATGAAAAGTAAACAAAAAAGGGTTTTTGTTGATTTGATCATTCACTTACGGCTGATCATCCATCGCATTATCGTCGCTAATCAAAATTTCCATCATCGTTGGGTCCATGTTGTGGTTTGTGTTGTGTAACCGTGGCGCCGCTTGGTTTCTGTAAACCAGATCAACATTCTCTATACCTTCTATGGCCATAGAATCGCTAAGAAACGGGTCGCGATTGTTCCGCAGTGGTTGGTTATCGTCATCGTCGTCGCTGCTTACGTCGCTGTGGTTGATTTCCATTTCATTTTCACTGTCATCTAAATACTCAATGTCTTCGTATTCTATCTCGTCATCGTCGTCGTCGTCGTCTTCGCTGCTTACGTCACTACTTACGTCGCTACTTATATCGCTGTATGCGGCATTATCGTAGGCGTGGTATACATGTACACGCGGCCATCCTTGATTTGAATTGGCATCATTGCTTTCTTCTTCATTCGAGCTTGCTTCACTGCTGTCACTGTTATCAATCTCGCTACCGTGACTATTCAGCCGGATTCGCGCACTACCATTTATTGTCGACGTTATTTGGGTCGACTGCACTGGTGGAAAAAGCCAGAAATTGTTGTCAAAAGGAGCGAAATGAAAATTCGGGTAATTTGGGTGTACGGTGCTATCAACGGTCGACGAAATTATATTATATTGTACTCTCGCTGAAACTGAATATGGGCGATAGACAGCCGGTGGTATTGAACGATCGCTCGACGATGTAGATTCAAAGCGCGCCTCACTTGGCGATGACATTTTTTTTTATTTCGGTCGGCGTTGGCGTAGATAATAAAATGGCAGAATAATTTAAATAAAACCGCAACAAAAACTGGAATCTGACTTGGTAAAAATTTTGTGTGATTATGATAAAATAAAATATTAGGTCGAATTACGAGCTGTTCTTCATTTGGCGGAATGAATCAAACTGATTTGGTCGCGATTTTTTTTCACACCATTTTTTGTATACACTTTTTTCATACTCTTGCTGGACTTCGTACGCACTTGCGTTTGCATCTAGAACCAAAACGGGCACATCATAGTATTCTTTCTGTATAAGCCATTTTTCATGTAAATCATGAATTTGATTAATGTAATCAAAATCAACCTTGCTTTCCTCAGATCTTCCTCTATTGTTTACCCGATTGAACGCATGATTCGGCTCGACTCTCAAGTAAATAATCAGATCTGGCTTGATGGCAAAACGTTCGATCGTAAAATCGTACCACTTTTGGAGAATGTCGTATTCTGCTTTCTCGATTTGTTTATTTTGCATTAATAATTCAATGAAAATATTTTTTGCGCTCAATATCGATCTCTCCATTATTTTGATTTTTTTTTCCGTCGATTTCAAATGGTTTTCAAGCATGAGTAGATGTACGTATGACTGAAATGGAAATGCCCATTTTTCAGCTTCTTTGTAGGCCAATTCCAATAAATTGATTCCGTTGAGGTTTTGGAATAATTCAACCGGTTCCGGGATGACTTCAACATCTTCGCTCTGTTCGAAATATTGCAAAAACGTACTTTTGCCCGCGCCGATGTTGCCCTCAACAAGAATTGTGTATGGTGTCTTTCCGAACGACATGATTCATATAAAGTAAACGCACGATTTATTCTGAAATTGAAACTGATGTTTATTTTTTCAAATTTTTTTTATGAAGCACTACTTATACTTGAGACACAACGCAATTGAAACTGAGCTACTGTAATAAAGTTTACTTGACTTAAATACACTTTCGATGTAAACATTCTCTATAGAATTTTTGCTTATATAGGCAAGTTGATGCCCATTGCTATTTTCAGTGGCCAGTTTTTGCTTACGAATTTTTTCAAACCGCGCTCTCTATGCTCGCTGACATATCAGCTATGATTTCTTCGAAAACTACTGCATCAATATTTAGGCTTAATAAATAAAGAATGAACCAGTCACCTACTTTGCATTCGGCCAGTAATTTCACAACATTGTGTAAGCGCGTACATCGTAAACGAGACTTGAGCATCATCTTTCGGACCAATGAACATGACAAAATGAATGCTTCGAGCACTAATGAAATAGTGGTTAAAATCGTTAGTATGATGAACCAATACCACAGGAATACATAGATCTTTTCGTTGATAATGTTCAGTGGCAAAATGTATAGGCTATCGAAATTTTGCAAGCTCCCCGATGGTCCATATGAACTAAATGTACATTTGGCAACTTTTGGAAATACACGCGCCATTGGATCGACGCGTATTTCTGGTTCTAGGCTTGTGAATTTCAGCACCTCAAATCCATAAGTAGAAAATTCACCATCCAAAAAGTAGTCCATAAAGTAGAGCTGGCTGATAATGTTGATGAAATTCAGTACTTCACAAAAGAAAAATTTGGCCATATAGCCATTATGATGGCCCATATTCAATTTGAAGTAGTTGATGATGATTTTCTTTCTTTCTTCTTTGTTATCTTCGGGTACGACCAGTGAATTTAAGTTATGCACGAGCATTTTAATGCGGTTTTCTTCCCAACTCTTCCATAAGAATCTTGGCATGTAGAAGAGTATGGCTTGAAAGAAAAGAACAAAGCAAACCCATTGATAATATTTGTGGAATTTTATTTCACTAGCACCATCACGGCTACCAACGCCTGGTTGAATGATGTCGCGACCAATTACGCCATTCAAACGTTCCGGCACTGTATATGTACCGTAAATCCAACAGTAGGAATTCATTGCGTGAGATGGAACATTTTCAGTGATACAATCAATTGGGTTGCCAATATACTGATTTGATGTCGCAAACAATGAGCATGTAATCAAAATAATTACAGTTGCTTTGTAATGCAGACGAAAAATAGTATTGTCAATGCAGACGCGATCGAGTTTCAGAAGCTCCTTAACTGACTTGTATATTTCCAACATTTTATCGAATGTTTCGATCACCGTTGATCAAACTGAACTGACTAAATCACAAACAAAAACGAACGTATTTATCTCTGCATTGCTTCTTATATAGTGCGTCTTGAAGCGGTCATCATTTCGCGACGCATTTTTATCATTCCGGCATTGGAATTTACAATATTCATGAAAAACTCCCAAGAATGTGAGCATTGTTTCGATTGTTACACGCGATAATTTTTCTGCACACACGACGCTTTTTTGTTATATAAAGGGCGACTGTAAATGCTAGATAGATCATACAGCTTTCGCAGTCAGTGAGAACGGTTTAAAATCAACTAGACCAAAAGTTATTGTTGAAATCACTCTGATTTTTTCTGTCGCATTATTCATTTGCTTTTGTTTTTTTTTGAAAAGTATTGTGAAAAAAGGAAGTGAAATAACACGATGTCCGCGGCAAATTTTTTGAACAAAATCGGCAAAGCCTCAGCCAAATCGGGCTACTTAAATTTTGATTCATTAGAGCACGGAACACCGTATAAAGTGCTTTCATTTTCTACGTACGAGAGCAATGCATTTGACAAAGAAAGAACCTGTGTTTGCGTAAACATCAAAGATGGTTACCTCATTCTTCCCGAGAGGTACGATGCTTGCTACAATCGTCTGAAATCTATGGACAAGGGTAACCTGTACATTATTTACAACGGTCGCTTGGGAAAAAACAATCGTCTCGACATTGATTTTGAAGAACGCGATGATGAAGACGACGATGACGCCGAAAACAACGGCAACGGCAACGGCAACGGAAAAGGCAAAGGCGGGGGCAAGAGGAAAAACAACAAGAACAACAATGGCGCCAGGAACAAGAAACAACGCACGGATTAAACGGCCATGGTGCTGGTCCAGCACTGCTGGCGATTAAGTATTTATTCTGAAAAAGAAGTTCTTTTGTCATATTCATTTCGAATTCAAATAAAGAAATACCCATATTTTCGTTTTCTTACAAAAATTGCGTTTTTCATTTCAATTTTATTTAATAAAAACTGAATGTTGGCATGATACATTGAATATGTTCTACACAATTATGTGCGTGTGTACTCTAAACTTGGCTAAATGAGATTTTTTTCATTTTATTATATTTAACAATTTCATAGTTCCACCAATAGCTCTTACACTAGAAAAAACATTAAGAGAAAAAGTCAATGAAAAAAGAAATGCGACTGAACTGCTTAATATTTTTTGAGTTTGAGAATTGACCCATTGTTATCGGTCAGCTGAGCAAATGCTCCTTCGATACGGACAATTTCATAGCTCGCATAACGTGATTCCTCGTTTTCAATGAATTTTTCGCATTCCATCGCATGTTTTGCCTCACGTTCTGCTTCTGGCACATCAGTATACAATAAATTTGCCAATACTGGAGGGTTCAAAATGTTGAACATCGTTTCGTGCCATTTCCGAAATGATACATCACCATAGTCATCTGGTCCCATGAATTTGGCCAAGAGTATGTCGCTCCATTCGGTTTCGGTCAATGCAATTTCGAATGTTTCAATCAACAGATTGCAAGCGTAGTCAATAACTTGTGGAGACCATGGCGTGAATTCACAAGTGTATGATTTCAAGGATGCCGTCTCTGTGAATATCTCAATCAGCATTGGAATGGAGATTAGCGGGCCCACCAAGAAGCCACCTTCGTGCACTTCATCAAGGAAATTGAGAAATTGATTGTTGAAGTTTTTCTTGTTTCGCGCGATTTTTTCATCTACACTTAGTGCATATGCGTCAATAAGGCCATCATCGCTTTCGACCGGATACGCATCATTTCGATACTGGCATATAGTACGTATCTTATTTTTCCAGTTATCGCAATCAACCACAATACTTGTGCCGAAAATATTCTAAGCGCAAGCGTGTGTTTCAATCCGGGCAACGAGTGAAGGAATAGAACTTTCACGGATAACGGTGTATTTGAGGGATTCCATCAGGTCACGAATCACTACGTCACGTGTCCATTGATCAGCCCATCCATCTTCAAGTGCAGTCGCGTAATGCATAATGATTTTACACAACTTTTCAATGCCAATCATGCATAAATCAGGGACCACTAGACGGCGATGTTTTTCAACGATGTCAACAATTTGATTGAACATTTTGTATAGTCTGGTTTGGTGTTCAATATATTGTGGTTCACGCTTACTGGTAGCGTTGTATGTACGCACTACATCGTTTATGCATTCAATCCATTTGTCAATGTTCATGACACAGTGGCTTCCATTTAGTTTTTCTTTTACCGCTTCACGTTTTAGTTTTTGGCAAAACGATGACAACAACATGTTACCCATTTTTTTCTTCCGCTTAAATCAAGTACTTGACTTTATGGTGAAAATTCAGTTGTCAAAAATCGGATGGATTTAGCGGGCCACTGGTACAACAAATATGTTCTTGCTAATGAAATTCACTTGAAATCGTTGTATTGATTGTCCGAGAAGAGTACTGTGCGGCTAACAAAAAAAAACAAACATCTGCGGTATGCCAATAATTTTGTGTGACTGGAATTTGAAATATGCTTTCCCAATGAAATTCACTTCAAATCGTTAGGTCGATCGCCCGACAAGACTACTGTGCGACTGAACAAACCTCTGCCGCATGCAAGCTGTATAAGAAAAAATGAAAGTGAAACTGCTTAAATGAACGCAAAACAAACGCAAGAACCGTCTTTCTTGTGCCCCATATAGAGACGCATATTTTTATTGATATCTTTTTTTTGTTTTGTTTACATGAAATAACTTAAACTATGCGCATCGTTCTAAATAGTCGCGATACCGCTTATACGGTGCGGTTTACAATATTTGAATACGGGTTGTATGTGACAATATTATCGTGCACGATCAAACAATATGCTGTTGTGCCACCTGGGATAATGCTCCTGGTTTCGAATTCGATTCGAATGTCGATGATGCTCTTTTTAAGCGTTTCATTTTGGTGAGAGCAATCGATTACAATTAATGGTGCAATTGTCCTGAATTCTTCAAATGACAACATCGGAGCAGAATAATATTGTGATCTGTCGTGATAGAATGATTCTTGAAAGCGAGCATACATTTCATATAATATGGCGTATTGATGATTTCCGAAATTTACATTCAAATTTTCATAGGGGTAACTTTCAGAGTTTAGGTATACTTTTAGTTCTGATAAGTCGCAATGATCGAAATGACTTTTGTTGGCGGTGATAACGTTGTTTTTTGCTGTTTGAAATGCAACCACAATAAATCTTGGTGTGTTGAGTTGTGAGCTGGCTTTCACACTCCAGATATGTTTGCTTGTAGTAGGAAGTACTGGATACTCGTATAGTTCCCAAGTGCGGTAGTTGAGTTGAAGCTGTTGCTTTTTGTTGATGATTTGCATCAATTTCAATTTTTCGGCGTCGGCGACGGTGACATGTGGGATACGCCACTGAATTTTATCAATGGCTATCGATGATATGTTGTTATCGCCAACAAAAACGTTCACATCCGAATTACTTCGTAGTAAAATCAATTCATGCTTGGCGTTCATTATAATGTTGCGGTAGTCCTCGGCAAAACCAAATATGCTTTTAAGCGGTATACAAAAATTGATGTATCCTGCAGTCGCTTTAGTATTTGAAAGCTTGTTCCAACTACTAATTTGCATGCGCGACATATCATTTGGCGAAAATGATATATATCCTTTTATGGTTGATGTTATACCAACGTTTTTGCAGATATCAATCGGAAAACCATTTAGTTCATATCGTATTTCATTGAAAAGGAATGCTGCGGCATTATTAACAAAGTCTGGCGGTACTCTATCGGCTGCCTGTGAGGTAGCGGCGTCAGGGGCATTAACAACAACACGTCCTTCTATATAAATGTAGCTTCTGTGCGGCAGAACGTATAAATCCTGATTTTGAATGACTATGCGTATTTCATCGTTGTGATTGAAAGAAGTTGTGTACGGAGTGTACGCGTGATCTTGGATACTTGTGATTCTGTCGTCGTATCCAATTGGACCGCGCAAATTCAAAGCTTCACTGGCCATTTCTTTCACAATTTACTTTTTCTTCACTTTAAAACCAAGTTGTTTCAAAAATATAATGTTCGCTTTTTTTAGTCGTCTCCCTCTAATGCTCTTAGAAGCTGTTGAGCCTTTGGTTCCACTTTCTACACTAAGTCGTTTTTGCGGCCGATGCGCACTTTTATAGGTTTTTACAAAATCAACGTAATTGTTGTTGTTGTTGTTGTTGTTGTTGTTGTTGTTGTTGTTGTAGATAATCATGATTGCTTTACTTATTCGATTTGCTCCGCAATAAAAAAATAAAATAAAATTCCAATATGTTGAATCATCAATGCTCTATGTGTGAAGCAAGTGGTTTCGTTTATTTTACTTTTTTGATGTGCAAACGAATTGTAATCGTTTCTCCGCGAAAATTAATAAGATTGTTCTCTTGATCGATGACTGAGAGATTTAGCGCGTGTACGTTCTTCACTGTGACTGGGAAGTAAATGACGTTTTGTGGCACTTCAACTATCTTATAACCAGGTGGAACTCTGGGTGAAAATTGGTGAATCGTATGCGATGGCCTATTGTTCAAATAAGCTCCAGTTATGATGTTGCATTCTACGCGAATGACATTAACTTTCAAAATATCTGCCGGAAGTTGCGAAATATGTATTTGATTGGGTTTCAAGGATTCATTATTCCTAAACCCTAAAAGCGCGCCAATTGAATTCGGTTTTGTAAGATCGATGGGCTGGCTACACATAATCTCACACTTTAATGTATTTTTGTTCGATTCTAATTCCAATTCCACGCGCTTTGGTGATAGAGCTTTCTTCAAATATTTCGATAGATTTTCCACTTCATATGATCCAATAGGTATTTGAATACACGATAACGGCATAATTTTTTTGGTTACTCCAACAGCTCTTTTCTTTCTGCGGCCAGTCTTTATTAGATCAACCGAATAGATTTTTTCATCATTATTGTTATTTTGTTCATCCACTGAATTTAAATATGCAATATCAATTGGCCCATGGTTGATGTCATTTTCATTTCGATTATTTTCAACGTTTCCATAACCAAAATGGAATAAATTGTTTGTTTCATCGACATTTGGAATTGAATTGAATGTTTGAAAATCAATCAATCCGCAAACATATTCGCCTTCGCTTAAATCAATAGTTGGGAAATAATCGGCTTGTAGCTGCGACGAATTGCCCGTTAATGTTAATGTTATCGACTCCATGATTAAAACACAAATGATTTACTGCATCGTGGCTACCGCATCTTTTATTTAATTTCATTCAGTTATAAAAAATGTTGAACAAAAACTTTAAGCATAAATGACCGCATATGAATGAATTGAAATTTTGTTGTCGTTCGTAATTGTAACGAATAGTACAACTATTGCCTATGTATTTTATGAATTCTTGGAAAGGCTGCAAATCGCCAAAGCTGTCATAATAGTAGCATATCTTATCCTTTTTGTTGACGTAATAGCTCACCCAATGTGTTCCGTCCCCTGTTTCAAGGTCTAAATTTACAACTCCGCATTCATAGTTTCTACATCGTTTGGGCAATTTATTTCTCATAAATACGCCACGAAAGTGTGGTAGATATTGCCCAAATTGAAGGATGTCGTAGTTGGTGAGAGGACGATTTATGCTATTGAGGAGCTTATTTACACGTTTTTTGGAATTGGCGACAGATACAAACCATATCCCTTTTTATAAGGCATTAAGTAGAGCCCGCCGCCCGTTTTTGCATTTTTGCCAATTGCAATCGCCTCCATGGTTTCGTTGTGGCGTTTTGCTTCCTTGATATTCTTCTTTGCATTATTTGCTGAAACAACAGCATTCGCCACACTCGCTGACCCACCCATCAACGCACCCAATGCCGAAAGCCCGGCAAAGATGGGAACAAGCGGCAGCACGCCGCCAATTTTTGGAACCGGAATTATTCGCGGTAAACCAGTCTGCATACTGTTCTTTGGAATTTTGTGGTTTTTAATTGCGGCCTTTTCTGCTCCAAGCGCTAATTGCGCAGCAGATGGAATAGTTTGGGGTTTTTTCTTCGCAATCTCACTCTTCGCTTCTTTCATTGCCCTTTGAAATACTTCTTTCAATGCCATTTTCTTTACACTTCTTTTCTTTGTTCTTGCTTTTTTTGCTTTCTTATCACTTACACGGCGAGATGCTTCACTTCTCTTCTTTTTCACATGACTTTTACCCGGTTTGATGTTCATTCCCATGCCTAATGTTCTTTTGGCCTTCATTAAGCCGGCTACACCAAGCGCCAACGCTCGTTCGTTAAAACTCGCGTCTTTTGATTTTACGCGCTTCCATGCCTTTTTTCCGAGAATTTTATCGGCAAGATGACGTTCAGAAAGTTTGTTTGTTTTTGAATAAGCAATATCGTGTTCCTTAGCTGCTTTATCTAACTCATTGATGCCGGCGTCGTTTCGGTTGAGCCGTTTTTCTAGCTTTGTCCCGGGCCCAAGGTAGTGATAGCCCGGCGCATGCAATTCAAACGGTAGATTATTTATCAATGCGTTGATCAAACCTTTTCCTGTCTTTTTCCGCAACTTTCGTTTAGGTTTTTTCAACTTTTTCCGATTTGTTGCCTTCATTTTTTGTTTATTCTTACCGGGAAACATAAATAAGTGTGTGTCGTTCAAAAGTTGAACAGTTACTGGTAGAAGTTTGATTGAGTCTGTTGATTTATAGTATAGCAAGGGCAAACAAAAATGGAAGATATTCGAGTGACAAAGCAACGTGTAAAAATACCAATAAACAATGTTGATATTCAAAATGAAAGCCAAAAAGGGAAAGTATTTCATAAGCACAGTGTATTGCTACCGAACAGCATTCGTTGTATAACATGCGGGCCATCGAACAGTGGGAAAACCAATGCCATAATAAGTCTGCTGGAAAGTCCAAATGGACTACGCTTTGAAAACGTTTATGTATATGCAAAATCACTATTTCAACCTAAATATGTGTACCTGAAAAACCTGTTGTCGTCAATTAAAGGCATTGGTTGCTACATGTTTTCATCAAACGATAGTGTAATTCCATTAGCAAATGTCAAACCAAACTCAATATTTATTTTCGATGACGTCATTTGTGACAAACAAGACAACATAAGAGAATATTTTTGCATGGGTCGGCACAAAAGTGTTGATTGTTTTTATTTGAGCCAAAGCTATGCCCACATTCCAAAACATTTAATCCGCGAAAATGCCAATTTTCTTGTACTCTTTAAACAAGACGAAATGAATTTAAAGCACATCTACAATGACTTTAATATCTCAATCGACATGCCATTCGAAACATTTAAATCGATATGCGCGAAATTTTGGAGCGAGCGATATGGATTTTTAGTTATAGACGTTGATCGCCCGACAAACGATGGGAAATATCGAATGCAATTCGACAGTTTCATTTCTATTTGCTCAAATGAAAACAAATAAATAAAGCATGACCTAGAAAATTTCGTTTAGTCTGTTCATTTGCTTTGGAATGTTTACATGTATGCACTTGGTGTTTGTCTATAAACGTAAATAAAATGAGGAAAAAACACAGCAGTAGCAGCGGCAGCCGCAACGTAAAGGCACAACCGCAAAGTGAACAATTGAAAAGGTCAATAATTAAAACCAGAAACATAATACGAAAAAAATTCCGTGATTTACACAATCGGAAATTGGCGGTGAATCAAGAGATCACCGAAACATATCAACCCATAATTGAACCGCTTGAAACCATTGCTAAGCGCGAAAAAGGGCTACCACAGGAAAAAGGAGAAAATGTTACATCGGCCAAGGTGGAAAAAAAAGAAAGACCAGATGGTGGATATTTTCGGCCACCTGATTCGATTTTTAAAACAGCTATAGCAGCACATCGTACTAATCTGTTCGATATTTCGCACGGCAGTTCAAGCGCTCGATCAAACTTGCACAACATTAGCGGTATTAGTCCGCTGGCTGACGCTGAAGCTAGCGCCGAAGAGGAACTAGAAGAACGAATCATCAAAACAGTGCAAAGTCCACATAAATCACCACATATTGATAGTACGTATGGTTTCAAGTATAACAACGGACGACTCTTATTGGGCAGAGAGACTGTACTCACTAAAAACACGCCAAATGGTATAGCATACAGCATAAGGAACAAAAATTTCTTAGCAACACCGGGTTTAACCGAACTTTTACTCTCAAAAAACCCGAAAATGTATAAAGAAGAAGATTTGCAAACATATAAGGAGATGTTGCAGCGCACTAGTGCTCACAAAAAGAACTATAAAAAAAATGGGCAAATAAACCGCTCTCATTCATCAGTGAAATATAACAAAGTCATTTCACACTTATTTCCCGAAGAAAAGAAAGGAAAAGGTGTCAATGGAACAACAATCAAGCAACGCCCACAAATAAAATATAAAGTTGTTAATAAGAAGAAGGCAAACGGCATTAATTACACATATTGGGATGATCCAAATGAACTTGTTGATCGTTTGCGTTTGTTGACAGCGTCGCAGTCAGCCGGACACACTGGCCACGACAATGAAATAATTTCGATCATTGAAGAGCTTCGAGAAGCAAACATAATTAATTAAATATCCAAATCGAAATGCCCACAGTTTAGTTGGCTATCAGCATTCCATGGTTAAACATCAAAATGAAGGCAGGAAAAAGAGGGGGGCTGCAGCAGCAACAGTTGGTGGATGAATTGCATCATAGTGCCAGGAGAAATTTCCCCAGACGAAGTTATGTAATGCGCGGCATTGGTGATACTTTTCAAGCCGATCTAATAGAAATGATACCGTTTTCGAAGCAAAATCGTGGATACAAGTATATTCTGATGGTAATAGATGTCTTCAGCAAACGCGCGTGGGCTAGAGAATTGAAAAATAAAACTGGTGCCGAAGTAACAAGGGCCATGTCATCTATTTTTGAAGACGATCCGAAACATGTGCCACGCAACCTACATACTGACCAAGGAGTTGAGTTCTACAACCAACACTTTACTCGCCTAATGAAGAAGCATAGCATCAACCATTACTCAACATTCAGTAAAATGAAAGCATCAATTGTAGAACGCCTGAATAGAACAATTCTCCACAAGCTTTGGCGCCAATTCAATTTACAAGGCTCCCATAAGTGGTTGAACCTCATACAGCCAATCATGAAGACATACAATTCTACATTCCATCGCACAATAAAAATGCGACCGATCGATGTATCTCCAGAAAATGAGCAAAATTTGCTACAAACGGTTTATAAACGAAACCAAACTCTGACGGCATGTAAACAAAAGGCGAAATTCCACATTAATGACTATGTGCGCATAAGCAAATTCAAATCGCTATTCGAAAAGGGCTATACACCGAATTGGAGCACAGAAATATTTCGCATAGTTGAAATACTTCCAACTGAACCGATCACATACCGGCTAGTCGATTTAGACAACAAAGCAATCAAAGGCTGCTTCTATGAACATGAAATTCTTAAAACAGAGAAAACAGATATTTACTTAGTTGAAAAAATAATCAAACGAAAGGGGAAACAGATATTTGTAAAATGGTTGGGCTTTGATGATACGCATTCATCGTGGATAAATTCCGATGATTTAGTTTAAGCATAATATGGTTGAATAATGACTACAATAAAAATTCGAAGAAAATAAACAAAACTGACCTCTTTGCATTTTTCATTTTCTATATAATTTCAACTTCTCCGTATGGTTGATCTCAGTGCTAATAAAAACGTGGATCCAGTAAGATCTCGCCTGACTTATTTATTTTAAGCGGCAAAAAAATAAGGTAAACATGTCAATCGCAAGCGGAATCGAAATTATTGCAAAACAAAGCGCATTTAAAAAGCGCTTACGATCATACACGTATAAAAATGTTGATTACATCGATTTACTGGCATTTTTGAAAGAATGTCAACGAATTTTTGTTCAACAAACGAAAAGGCTGTTAAATGAAATCCCAAATATGAAATCGCATTTGATTTTGGAAGCCAAATTCAAGCGGCTGATATGTGAAGATGGTGAGAATGAAAATGACGACACCGAACAAATTTCAGCGTTCTATTTACAAAGTAAACAGCAAGACATATCACTAACAACAAATCTGGAAAATTGGTTCAAAACGAATGTTTTTGATGTTGTGACGACCAAAGTTGAAGAACTTCAGGAAAACGGCTCTGGGTGGGCTCTTCATGAAATTATCGGTTTGGATGTAAATTACAACAAATTAGTACGGTTTAGTGGAAGCTCTTACTTGGAAACGCCGAAATCGATAAGAAATAAGAGAGCAGTTATAAATGTCAAAAATTATGATAATCAGTGTTTTAAATGGGCCATCCTCTCAGCGTTACATCCGGCAAAAAACAATACTGATCGCCTATCGAACTATGAACGTTTTAAAAATGAATTAAAATTTGACGGAATCATGTTTCCGGTGAAATTGAATGACATTTGTCTTTTCGAGCAGTTGAATCCAGGAATTTCGGTCAACGTATACATCATGCAAAGAGAATATTCAGTTTTCGCCGAACGCAAAGTGAATGTAATTGTTCCGGTGCGCTTGGCTCAAAATGTGCAGAAAAATCACGTTAATTTACTTTTGTTATGTGAACAACTCGAAGATGAAAACGACAACGACGATGATGAACCAATGTACACTATCGACATCAAAGAGTTCCTTGATGAACTCACTTGTACACATTATGTATGGATAAAAAATTTAAGCGCTTTGATTCAAGGTCAGATTGGGAAAAACAATAATAAAAAATACATTTGCGATCGTTGCTTGCACTACTTCTATTCCAACCAGAAATTACAAGAACACATACAGCAGTGCTGTTTACAAAATGAAACCAAAATAACTTTACCAGATGTCGATCACCGTTGGATTCGCTTTAAGAACTACAAAAATAAAATTGCAGTTCCATTTATTATTTATGCGGATATTGAATCTTTGTTGGTACCAATAACGTACGGTAGAGATAGCAACGAAGACGGCGCCTTCAAAAAGAGGCTACCAAAAGGTGCAACGCATAGTCATATACCAAACAGCATTGGTTGCTATTTACATTCATTAAATGAGCCTGATCTATCCCACTATAAATGTTTTTCCGGTAAAATGTGTATCGATCAATTCATTTTTTACCTTGAACACCTAATGGAAAGCATTATATGGCCGAAAATTCATGGAAATAAACGCATGATGTTGACTCCCCAAGAGCAAAAAGATTTCAATGCGGCTTCTGTTTGTCACATTTGCAATGAACATTTCAATAACGAAAACAATAACAAAAAAGTGCGTGACCATTGCCATTTGACGGGCGTGTACCGAGGGGCCGCGCACTCAAAATGTAATATGAAATATCAAGTGTCGAAATCGGTGCCTGTCGTTTTCCACAATTTAGACTACGACTCACATTTTTTGATCGAGAAATTGGCCAACCTTATCGAAGGACGTATATCAATCATACCGAAAAACTGTGAACACTACCTTGCTTTTACAAAAGATTTGGACAATTTTGACAATGATGATGATGACGCCAATGGGGACAGCGCCAACTATCGCGATAAACCACGGTTAAGATTCATCGATTCTTATCGTTTTTTACAGTGCTCTTTAGCTGAACTCGCTAAATCCTTACCATCGGACAAATTAAACATCACTCGAAAAGAATGGAGCAATTTGTGTGAGAAGGATTTCAATTTAGTAACGATGAAAGGTATATACCCCTACTCTTATATGAATTCATGGGAAAGTCTGCAAGAAACGCAATTACCGCCTATAGAATCATTTTATGATGAACTTAAAGATAACAATATAAGCAAAAAGGAATATGCGCACGCAAAAAAAGTATGGAAAACGTTCAACATTCAAACGCTGCAAGAGTACACTGAAATATATCTCAAGACCGATGTTCTGTTGCTGGCCGATATATTTGAGAATTTTCGTTACAACTGCATCAAACTTTATGAATTGGATCCTGCGCATTACTTCACATTACCAGGCTATTCATGGGATTGTATGTTAAAGTATACGCGGGCTGAAATCGAACTCTTCACAGATATTGATCAATTAATGTTCGCGGAGCGTGGATTGAGAGGTGGCATTTGCCAATGCTCGCATCGATATGCTAAAGCGAACCATAAATTTATGGTGGATGATTACGACACTGAAAAACCATCCAACTACCTGATGTATTTTGATGTGAACAACCTTTATGGGTGGGCAATGTCTCAACCTCTGCCCATTTCGAACTATTCTTGGTATGAAAACAATGATGAACTTAATGACACCGATGGAATTGAATGCAAAATTAGGAACACTCCAGATGATGCGGATTTTGGGTATTTTTTAGAAGTGGATTTAGAGTATCCATCTGAATTGCACAACCTACACAATGACTACCCATTCTGTGCTGAACACATGGAAGTTGGCGATTGCAAGGAAACAAAACTAGTTTTAACTCTTCGAAACAAAACCAACTATGTTATACACTTTCGTATGTTAAAACTAGCGCTAAAGCATGGATTAAAACTAGCGAAAGTGCATCGAATTCTGGAATTTAAGCAATCAAAATGGCTAAATGACTACATTGCGCTAAACACAAAAGAGCGCGCTAAAAGCAAGACCGAGTTCGAGAAAAACCTCTACAAATTGATCAATAATGCGATTTATGGAAAATCAATGGAAAATGTCCGAAACCGACAGAACGTTGTACTGGTAAATCGTTGGGAAGGCCGTTATGGATTGCAAGCCCGCATTGCCAATCCTCTCTTTAAACGTAATGTGATTTTTAATGAAAATTTGGTCGCGTGTGAACTGTATCAAGCCAATGTTTATATGACAAAACCCATGATCATAGGCGCGGCAATACTTGAAATATCAAAATGCAGAATGTATGAATTCCATTATGATTTTATTTTAAAGGAATTTGATCATCACAAGTGTAAAATCTTGTACACCGACACGGATTCATACGTTTACAGCTTTGCGTGCGATGATATTTATGATTGGATGCGCAATCATCCAGATCAATTCGATACCAGCGGATTTCCTGAAAATAATCCGTACAATATCAAACTTTTGAATAAAAAAGTTGTAGGATTAATGAAGGACGAATTCTCTGGTAAAATTGTTGACGAGTTTGTGGGTTTAAGAGCAAAAATGTATGCAATAAAAACGCGTAATGGGAAGGGAAAGAAAAAGAAATACATGATTGACAAAAAGGGGAAGGGCGTCAAGAAATATGTCTTGAAAAAGCACATTACATTCAAAGATTTTAAAAAATGTGTGCACCAGAACATCATATTGAAAAAGCATCAAAATTGTATTCGATCTTCTTTGCACGATGTATACAATATCACCAACGAAAAAAAAGTGCTGGACCCCTTTGATGACAAGAGATTTATCATACCAGGCACATTCCAAACTTTGGCATGGGGACATTATGATATAAATAAATATTGAATCAACTGAATGGAATAAACAATATAACTTAGCCGACTAAGGAAATACAACGAATATAAGAATGTTGGTTTTCGAGGTGATGATTTAGTATTACGCGACCGCTGAAGTGACCAACAATAGCCGCAATATGGACACAAGTGAAATGAAAGTTGACGCCAGACAAGAAACAGAACAAATGGAAGTTGAAACGAGTGTGTGTAGTGACAATTTTGTGCTCATCGATGTGCAAGGCTTCAGAAACCGTCACCGCTTCATTTGCAAAGAATTTTCGCTGATTGATGGTGATTACAATTATCATGCCATCGTAAAGTCCCCATACAGTTTTAATAAACTGAATGACTATTTTCAACGACAAGCAACGTGGGCAATCAACTACTACCATGGTCTGAAATACGATTGCGGGGACGTGAATATTGTTGAAATAATTTCCAAAATATATCCAAAAATAATGAAGAAAAAAATCATCGTAAAACATCCCTGGAAAATAATTTGGCTTCAGTACATATTCCGCAACTGCGGAAAACTTGATTGTATTTGCATTGATGATCTTGGATTTGATATGACACGACCCAATGAAGAAGTGTATGAAATCTGCGACTACCACAATGAAACATTTGGCTGGAAAAAATGTTCCTGTGCGATGTCCAATACCTTGGAAATGAAAGATATGATAGATAAAAACTGCCACAAAATATCAGTCTGGTTTCAGCAACAAAACGATCAACATTAAATTTTTTGAAAGTGCTAAATAATGTTCCGAAAAGATATCAAATATAAAAAATTGCGCGAATCGCCATCGCCGCCGCGCCAACCGCCAGAAGTGCCGAAACGAAACGTAATACAAAAGCCACCAGAACTACCACCCAAGCCAAAACCAAAAGAAGAGAAAAATTTGATTGATTTTACATCGAAGTGAAGAAAAGAAGAAGCTATGGCACTCGCCACAAAAAAGTGAATTTTTCAAATAAACTGAGTTCATTTATAATTTATATTGTATCAGAAATGAATAGAAAATAAAAACAAAGAATTCGAAATAAAGTCAAACCTTTTTTATTTCAAGACATTCTTCACACATATTTCAGATTCTCAAGATTCCTCATCACACGAATCGGTTGTGACGAATATTATCGATGCACGCATACGCGCCTGGTTCACATGCAGCGGCAAGCGCGCGCGACTCACTCGCGGCTCGCGGCTCACATGGACACTGTCCGTGTGACGGACCCGCGCGCACCCACACACACACCTAGGCTAGGTCACACGGACACTGTGCGTGTGATTGGCCTGCGTATAACACACGCACACATATACTGGCCTCACACCGACACTGTACGTGTGACACTAACACATAGATGATCTCAAAGTAACATAGTATACACTACTTATATCTTAGAATACGCCCATTATTTTCGAGAAAAAATAACTTTTTACCAAGATACTTCTAAAGATGTCAACGGACAAGCACCTCGTCCGTCCGTCCGTCCGTCCGTCCAGGGCTCTTGAATTTTTGTTTGTCCGTCCGTCCGTCCGATCAACGCTGAACGGACGGACAAGAAAATTACGTTTTGTCCGTGTCCGTCGAAAAATTTTCATTGATTTTTGACGTGAAAATAGGTTTGAGCTGTGTCAAATGGGAAGCTAATTACAAATCAGTTACTAAAATTTTTTTTTTGTATTTTTTGCGTCAAAAAACTTTTTGTCCGTTCGTCCGTCCGTCCGTCCGCCAGAGATTTTGTTGTCCATCCGTTCAGGATCCTCAGAAATTTAGTTGTCCGTCCGTCCGTCCGTTCAGCGTTGATCGGACGGACGGATGGACAAAACAATTTCTAGTGGCTCTGAATGGACGGATGGACGGACAAAAAAAATTTCAAGAGCCCTGGACGGACGGACGGACGGTCTAAAAAGACGGACAGTCCGTCCGTTTGACACCTTTAGATACTTGACGAAAAAATGTATATTCGAGGAATTTTCTGAACCAAAGTTGATTTTTCTAGAGTTTGCTGTTGAAGACTAAAAACTTTTTTTTCTTATAGAATTATTAATTAAATGCACTCAAATACAATGCTGTGTGCGCTCAGCTTCAGAAGGAAGCTGATTTGAGTTCCAGCAAGGTTTTTATGGAAGCCGCATTTCCTCAAGCTTCCGTTGCAACATATAGCGGTTGTTAGTCGCTGGAGTTATTTACATTCTTCTTTTATGTATTTTAAATATTTTTCTTTCTTCGGGAGGACTGCCTCTCCTTAAAATGAATCAAAACCATCTGCAGATCTTCTCTGGGCTTTTTCTTTGGTTTCAGAAATTCTGGTGTCAATTGATATGTTTTATGCTCCTTCGAATCAAAACCATCTGCAGATTGTGTCATCCGAAAATGACACAATTTCGTCTTTTAAGAACTCATCAGTACAGCTTTGTTGTTTTTTTTTCTTTTCTTATTTTTTAATACAGTGGAACCTCGGAAATTAGAAGGTGTTTGTACTTCGGGTACTTCTAATTTCTGAATTCTTCTAATTTCGGAGGCAATTTTTTTTGCATTAATTTTGCAGTTAAATGAACAAAATGACACTACAGTAACACCAGAACGAAATTCCCAAATAAAAATATAACTTTGAAACATACTTTTAACAAGATTCCAATATTTTTGATACTCTGCCTTAATAATTCTTTTCAATAATATTCCAATTGAATTAGAAGAATTATCAGACAAAACAATTCATTTATTTCGAGATGAAAGATTATAAAAACTATGGAGATGTATTTTTTTTCCATAAAAAAACGAATGTAAAGTAAATTTGGTGCAATCCGAATACAAAAAAACGAAATTTGTTCATTTTTGGACGAAAATCGAACATATTTCCAGAAGATTTTGAGTTCAATTTGCTTCAAATCACCAATGATTGTATATTTTAACGATGAAATGTTCCTAAAAATTTTCACTTTCAAATAGAATTCACATTAATATGTTTTGTTTCGAGATTTTGAAGCTGAGGTCCATAATTTTCGAAAAAAACCACAAATAGTGATTCAATGCCTTAGTTTCGTCAAGCAATTCCAATCAATACTTTGTTCCATTTAAAATTTTTCGTTCGATACAATAGCTGCATTGCATTAAATAAGCATTTAAAAAAGTACCTCTGAAATTAGAAGACAATCTTCTAATTTCAGAAGCAGCAATGGAACGGAAAATTCTCTTCTAATTTCGGAGGAATTCTAATTTCTGGATCTTCTAATTTCCGAGGTTCCACTGTATTATATTTTTTTTTTTTTCCATTTTCGATTTTTTAGTTTTTTTTGGTTTATGTTTTTCGTTTTGTTTTTTTTTTTTTGTAGGTTTTTTTCATTATTTATTGTTAAATTTTCAATATAAAAAGAAGATAATTTAATTAATTAGTTTTCGGAGGATATCCTCCACGTCAGGTTTTTTAACTTTTGTTTTACCATGAAACGGTCTCGTAACTACCCGCAGCTAATTCTTTATTCCTTACAGCTAATCTTTGTTCCATTTTGGGTTTGTCCATTACTTTCATGCTTCATTTATTGAAACTTAATTTTTCAAATTCGATATTTTGGCCGTCTTTATTGATATTTTGGATAATTGCTTGTAGGATCAAATCCGCTTGAGAATAAGATGTGTATGCTCCAAGTTTTTTAGATCACTTTCGAGGTAATCTGAATTATAACTATACTCGAACATGCTTTTAATTTCAATATCTACAGAATATTGAGAAAAGTATCCATTCAAATCATCAAGGTTCTTAGTCAGATCTTTGTCTACTTTTAGATTCGGATCAACGTAGTATCTTAAATGATTATCTAAATCAAATGTTTCCCAATCTAGGATCCAATTATTTCCGTTCTCCTTACCGTGCATGTATGAGTACACTATTATTTTTGAGCTCATATTGGTGTTCAATATTTTGGAAATCAGGTCATAGAAATGACCAATATTTATTGCCTTTGTGCTAGCATAAATGTATCTATTATTGTCCAGTGAGCACTTCTTCCAGGTTGATGTAAATTGGCCCGTTGTCTTGTCTCTTGTGCCGGTATTCTAACACCATTCCGCACATTTTGTTCGGAATTATTTCGAGCGATCAATTGTATTTTGGAAGGTGGGATCCAAACGTTATATATGGATTTGTCTGTTTTTCATTGATTGAACGTTTGGATCCCACTTTCCAAAATACAATTGATCGCTCAAAATAATTCCGAACAAAGTGTGCGGAATGGTGTTAGAATACCGGCATTGGTCTCTCCATTTGGGCCATTTTTTTAACCAACTTTCTTTTGTCTGTCGTTCTTTGCTTCTATTGTAGATGTTTCCTACCGTTCTTAAGCCGTAGCAAGGGATTCACGGAATATTGTTTGGTTTTCACGTTTTATAATCGCTTGGTAATTCGTATATGTAATAAAATTAGTTTTTGTTTAGTTTAGTTTGCTTTTGTATATCTCGTTCTCGCTTGTAGTTTAATCGCTTTGTTTTCGGTGGGGTATGGTACAACTTTTATGTCAATCCATTTAAATCCATACCCTCTCAGCAGTCGCTATAGAATATAATCATCGATTTAAAGTTTTTTATTAACCTGCTGAGGAGCGCTTCTTTAAAGCTCATATATTCTAATAGCAGCTAAAAAAAATTCCAGGAGAAAATCATCTCCAGCTCTTTGACGGGATGGATTCAATATTTGGGCAAAACAATTTAACACTCGCGAAAAAGAGGGAGAGAGTGTGGTCGACATTGGAATGTTTGCCCGTTCGGACGTCATCCGAAGAGGTACACATTTCCAATGAAGAGGTTACACTGACATCTGAATAACTTGCATCATCGATTAGTGAGTCCATATCTGATGAACTATCATCTACTTTCCCATCACTATCCTTGCTGTCAACGCTCTCGCCACTGTCGCTATCGTCGTTATGTACCTTCATATGGCCCTTTAGTGCTGACTGATTCTTAAATACCTTTTTTGGTACACACAAAAAGCAAGTGTCATTGCAATGTTTCTTATGGGCAAGATATTTCATACGGTCTATAAATCTTTCGAAGCACGTTTCGCATTCGATCTCTTCTTTCGCAGTTTTGCCCGACGATGTTGTCGGCTCATCTTTCGTTGGTTTCTTCAACATCTTACTTCACTTATTATCTTGTTATTTTCAAACCGTTTCCAAGCCTCACTTGGACAAGGGAATCACAGAAAATAACAATTTATATTGCTCAAATATAAGCGTAAATGCTTCTGGTAAATTCTTGATGGTATATCTGCAAATAATCTCTCTTTTAATCGCAGAAGGTAGTCTCGCTAGAAAGAGTCCGCGAAGATTGTGCCTCCATGGCTTTCGACTGTTCCAATCGTTCGGCATTTAAAACAGCTTCGATTTGGTGTTATTCGAAGCCTTGTTTATTTAGCACGCCCTAATTACTTGCACTACCGTCGCACTATATATAGATAAATGCGAATGCATTTATCCACATACACCTGTTAATGACTAGTAAAGAGAGAGAGAGAGAGAGCGAGCTTCATGACCTTCGTTCAGCCAGGTCAAGCCCTATCTCTTATTTTAAATAGAAACGGTGCAATTTTGACAAAAAGACTATAAATGCGTATTTCAACCAGGTTGAAGATGTCATATTGTTATTGCATTATACAATTTGAAATTGAAAAGTATAACTTTGCAAAGAGGCCGGAGTCGTATAGATCCCACATTACAAAGAAACAGTTAGAAATAAATATACCATTAGGACGGGCAAAATTGTTGGCTGTCCGTCTGAAAACTGTCCGTTTAAAGAATTTGTCCGTCCGTCCTGAAGATTTGTCCGTTGTCCGTCCTAAAAAAATTTTGTCCGTCCTAAATTTGTAAAAGGACGGACGAACGGACAAACGAGTGTCCGTTTGACACCTTTAGTAGGACCCTAGGGGCAAATGGCTATTTGTATAATTTGTTTAATGATATAGTTTATTTATTCATCAATGAGAATATCAAAGTCATTTCGTATGCATTTGCGGTATTTGAATTCTATTTGTGTACCTAAAATGAATTAGTACTCTATTTGTATGCATAGAATGTATCATTATACCGATAGCTTTAAGTACACAATCTGTCTTATCGACTCTCTTTCGTTGGCGGAATATCATGCTAATACTTTAGATAATGACATTTCTTTAAATCGTTCTGTGAACAATGAGCAAGAAGGTGAACATTTATAATATTTCCTGCAAATTTTCAAACATATTTACATTTTTTCTTCAAAATTAAATAAAAAAACAATTTGTCCATAGGCTAGAACAAATTTTGGTACAATTTTCAATTGTATTTGGACAACTCGTGCCCAGACTTCATAGTCAAAACATTGATTCGTGCCGGTTTTGATTCCACATTATCACTAGCAGAAATCGAAGAATCAGATATAGTCACCATCCAAAATTACGCGGCAGATAAATGCCAACATTTAATTCAACTTGATTTCGTGAATGGTGATTCAAAGTTCATGCCAGGTCACCGAAAATTGGTGTTTGCAATTTCAAAAAAAGCTAAACAGTATTTAGAAGAAAAATCATCTGCAAAAGACGGTCCAGAAAGTACAGTTTTGGAAGGAAGAAGAGAAGAAATAGAACTTCTTTCTCCGGATGAAATAAACGAATTGAAAGAAAATCTCATTATTAAACTAAATACAAGTGCTCGAATTAATGGTTTAAAAATTGAATTTACTGGAAACGAAATTAGTGTAATCGAACCGTATATCAGTAAAGCGCGTTCTGCAGCGACAAAGGCATCATATAAGTGTACGGTAAAGTGCTTGTTGCGTCCAAAGTCTGTTCGATGCACCCATAATGGTCATTGGCAAACAAGCAATTTAGACAAACATTTGAAAAAAGAAGCAAATCAATTGAAATCTTCATCGCAAGCCATACATGAAAACAGCAAAAACGCATCGGAATTAGAAGCGGTGTTGAAAAAGTGAAGAAGTCGAACGGAACAAAGTGACATTTTACTGTATTCCCACCTAAACATACCGCGCCATAATTTGACACTTCGCTTCGCTTTGAAACCTTGTCACACCAATCGACTTTTTTTTTGCATCGTCTGGTTTACTTGATGCGTTTTACTACTAGTTTTACTAAATCCACAAAATGTTTTTCGTCGCGTTTTTATTGAAACCAAAAGAAAAATGTGGTAATTCTACAAAATTGGGTATAAATTTTAAAAAAATTCTACAAAATTGACAATCAGTGGAAGAAATTTTGAACATTGCTATCAATCGGAATCAAACGTATCCGTGCTTCTACTCGAAACATCAATATGCATTGGATGGTCGCCCAAATGTTGACTACATTCCGAATTGGACAGATCTCGTGTCATCAAACGCAGTTTTTCCTGATCCTGGTTGCTATTACGCAAATTTGGTTGCTTACAAAGGTGGAATTAAAAACATAAATAATTTTTTCAAATTATGTAATTTTTATTTTGATTTAATTGCAGAGAGTTTCGACATGAAACGGTTGTTAGAGCAACCATTGCCTTCTGTTGTCGTTGCAAGCACCAGTAGTCTAGCCAGTAGCCATGCATTCTTGACAATGATTCGGATGAGGAAGAAAATTTCGTATCGAACGCAGCGTAGCTATTAAAACAAACAGCGTAGCTATTAAAGCTGAACCTAACATCCTTATCGAGATTTCACCATCAAGTCAAGACCATTTGACCAATTTCCTGGAATCTGCAAATCATCCAGCTTATAATGCTAATGTGAAAGAAAAGGCCAATTTACTGGAGGATGTTTTTGACGAAGATGTCATCATCTATGTCGATAAGTCTATTGGCTTTTGTAAGCCGTTCAACTCAAACACAGATAAACTCATGAGACGTGAAAACGACACGATCTCCGGAAATATTCCATTCATTGATAAGGTACTATTCATATAAAAAAGGCAATGTATATCCATATTTCAAATTTTATTTTTTCGTAAATTTTGAATAGGAAAATGGCCGAGCGTATGAGTTTATATTTATAAATAATTTTTTTTATAATTTATTTCGTTTTTTATACGAAAATATTTATCCCTAGGAAAATCGAAGGTATGATTCTGTATGCACTTTCCTCTTACCAAGTAAATCACTCTATAAAATTTTGTCAAGCAAAATGTGTATGACAATCTGCTCTGAAAAATGAACCATGTAAACAAAAAGATCAATAAAACTATACAATT